ATATATATATATATATATATATATATATATATATCCTTGAGATGACGTTGTGCATCTATTCCGGTGGATATAACTCTAGAATTGATCTTGAGTCTAATTCTCAGTACTAAATTTGTCGAGAAATTTTTTTTTGACTTTTGATGTTGACTATTGTATCGATGACTTATTGTTTCACTTGGATCTTGAGAGTGAATAATTTTTTCAAATTTATAGACTAAGGATCAGATTTGATTTTATAACCTTCAATCTAACCATTAATGATAGACTACGATCCAGGTGTAAAACCAATGCTAATTCAATTTGATCATCTCTTATAGTAACGATCATTGTCAGTCAATTCTGATTATTCTTCCACTAGGAAGAGTTCAGGTTGAATCTTTCAGCATTTTTTTCTTTTCATGTATGACCTGTAATTTTATAATGATTATAAAATAAATTATTTCTTTTAGAAGAAAATGTGGTTTTATTACTCCCGAGGTCCTTCTCGGCTTTCGGATGCTTTCCTTTTGCCTTCTCTATATTCTTGTCACAATGGGTTCAATTCTTTTCTCTATCATCACACTTGCTGTTGTGATGTCATGAGTTTTTAAGAGGCACTGTTATGTGTTTATCTAGGCATAGAGGCCAGCAGTATATTTCATAATCATTGAGTGATCATCGAGGAAAATTATAAGTGTCATCGCTTGTTATTAGAACTCCATGGTACATTTTTACATAGATTGGTTCCTTCCTTGACATATGTAGTGCTACTTTCTTCATGTTTCTTCGAGATATCCCATATGATATAATTCTTCTCGTATAAGTCTCTTGAATCATATCCATAATATATCTTCATCATTATTAGTTCGAAGATGAGCTTTCTATCATGTAAGAGCATATCCAATCAAATTGAGTCACTCAAGCATTATCCTATTCATATTATTGTAGTCATATAGATTAAAATAAGTATCAAGTTTATTTATCCACTAGTTTAATATATCATTATTGATTGAGTCATCGTAAGGGTGGGTGTATCGATGTGAGACTCTAACACCAAAGGATCGAGTCCTTGTTGTGTTCCTCAAATAGTCATAAGATACAACAACAACAACTATCACCCACTCTCATAATTGGTTCATCATAGTTGTTTACATAGGTGGTTACAGAAGTTCAAAGTTTTCTAGGCACATGTCAATAACTTCATAAGTTCATCTGATTTTTTTTTTTTAATTCTTATGGCTCATTTACATTCCTTTACTAAAATAGGTCAAAGTTTTGAGTGGATGAAAAAACATGATGCTATGTTCCACTTGCTAAAGAGGAAAATCAATAAAACACTCGTGCTAGTCTCGTCGAATCTATAGTGACAGTTTGAGTTGGAGGCAAATACGATATGAGCTATTTTGATGCAAGATAGTTAACTTGTGAGATACTAAGATATTCTAAGAATCTCAAAAGAACTATCCCACTTATGACATAGAATTATTCACGCTACATCAAATAATCAAATATTGGCGTATGTATCTCCTAGGAAAGGAGATGATCATCTACACTGACCATCAACCACTTCAATATCTTTAAACATAATCTAAATTGCAGCAAGCACGACACATGAAGGATGTTATATTTATAACAATTCAAATATAAAAAGGGAGTGCAAAATAAGCTACTTGACATATTATTATGACTCCCGATTATAAGTCTTTGCTTTTCTATATCTATATATATATATATATATATATATATATATATATATATATATATATATATATATATATATATATGCAAGACATACGTAGTGTTCATGAGGATTATGCAAACATGTATAGGAAGACCAGAATTTAAAAATACCATAGAGAAAATCAAGGTAAGAACTAATATGAAATTCATACTCTAAGGAGGACTATTCTATAAAGGTGCTCAGCTTTGAATATCAAAGAAAATAGATCATATGAATTGGATATAAGAAGCACACCCATTAAAAGTCATCGGACACTTTGGCATAAACAAAACTATGATAATTCTACAACAACATGTTTACTGGCCCCAAATGCAGCAAAATGTGGCTCAATTTATGTGAGGATGCATCTTTTATAGCTTTTCAAAACCAAACTAATCGAAAATTGGGGTTATACTTTGTTGCTTGTTCCATCGTCACCATGGGAGAAAAGTCTACTGACAATAAGACGGAGGCAACTATCTATATTTGTGGTAGTCAATAAATTTTTAAAGATGATAGTGATCATGCAAGACAATTATTAGAGAAGGAGCAGCCCGATTATTCTTCCAACACGTGAGGGCACACTTCGGCCTTCCAAGTTTTATTATATCTAATTATAACAAGTATTTCTTGAGAAAATTTTGAAGTTCATTTAGACCATAATGAACAGAAGAAGAGTATAACTTTTTATCAATAAACCAATGGTTCATTTCCTTCGAGGATACAACTCTCCATGTGATGGCATGGAACAAAAGTCTATCACACCTTCAGTATTCTTTCAATTGGGCAATGCATAGTTCTATCAACAAATCACCGATCAAGATATGTTTGAGTTATTTACCTTAAGTTCTTTTGATTTATAGTTCAAATCGATTTGGAATCAGCTACCTCTAACAAATGCAATGCAACATATGATTAACGTGGGATCAAACCAATGCAATGCAACATATGATTAACGTGGGATTCGGGTTTGATGATCCGTCGACTCGATGCCATCTTTTAAAAAAAAGATTTGATGGAGAAATAAATTATCATAGAAAAATCAAGCATAAAATCAAATAAAAATAACTTGTATTGTTTGTAAAGTTAAAGTCCTATAAAATTTGAAAGAATGAAAATGAAAGCATGAAAGAAAACTTATCGATACATAAAAACATAGGTTATTTTTGGATAGCACGTCGATACTCTCGATAGGTTGCGATCGTTGTTGATCTTCAATCTCCTCCTCTCTTTTCTACTAAAATCTCCTTATGAGATTTGGACAATAGGTAATAGGTATTGAGGACTTTTCGCAATAGCTAAATGAAGCTTTCTAAAACGTGAAGAGAAATGTTGTGACCGAAAGAAGTTGGCTATAGCAGTGCATAATTCTTTCATCTCATCTCTTTACTACTGCTTTAAGGTTACAAAACTAAGATCGAGTAACTCTTTGCTGAAGATTAAATCTTCATTTTTTTTAGATAGAAACATATGTCCTAAGTGCTTAAACTGGATTTTTCTGGTGAAACACAACAATTAGAATTTTCCTAACGTGCATATATATATATATATATCGACATGAAAATTTTAGATGCCACATGAATCATGTCATGTCATCATTAAAAGAAAAAAAAAAGAGGAATATGAGGAACAAGGCCGTAATCAAGTTATCAAACAAAATCAATACATATTCTCTGGAAAATAATGATATTTCTGGATAAGCATTTCATCCTTACAAAACATTACAAGAAGCAAAAAGGAATCAGAAACAATGCTGTTTGGGGGCTCTTTCTACTGTACATGCCGACCGATAAATCCCTGCAGGACCCCTCAAACCCAGAAGGTGCAGTCTTGACATCCTTGAGTCTTGAATACAGAGTTCTCGAAAGTTCAAACAGCAGATCAAAGTGACTAGATGAGTCTCAGTTCATATTCGCCAGCCATTGTGATGTATCTCACCCATGGAAGGGCTTGGTATCCACTCTTTTCAATTATTTTCAGGTATCGAACCTAAGCAACCGATACAATGGATCCATAAACCACTGATTCATATAGTCCAGGACACGAGTCATGAAGAATCAACATACCTGTATTCCAGACACAGTGAAATATGGGATCTCAAACTTCACACGTATAGGAGCCTTCTTCTCTGGAGTTGCTTCTTCTGCGGTTATACTGGGAAGACTAAATTCTGCCCTACACATGTACTCCTAAATGCAGCAAAAGACCATGCTAACATCATGAAGACGATTCTTGCATGTAAATTTGATTAGAAAAATTGTATGCATCCATCTGGTTATCGGGAAAAAGGAGTTATGATTTCATACCTTGCCACCAGGAAATGATTTTATTTTCCAGACCAACGCGTCATTTTCAGGTGCATATTTTGCAGAACCCATGGACGTCCGGACGTTGGGATGGATAGCATCTGAAGGTACAGGCAGCTCAATTTCCACATTTGTTGCAGTGCTGTACGTAATTGAAATAATTACAGAAGGTTATTACAAATGGATGGCATGGGCCGTAACAAATACAAAATACGGGATCATCTATAACAAAATGAATGTAAGCTAGCACCTCCTTTCCTTAAACTGACTTCGTGCTTTCACCAAGATCTCTATGCGACTTCTCGAATGCTTCTCAACTTGAGCCTCCACCCAGACTGGAGGCTTCACCTGGATGGATGAAATAACAGGTGTTGCAGTAAAATAAATGCCTCGAAACTACAAATCTAATACAAGTTCTAAACTTTCAAAACTCTGTTTTGGACGAAGTTGTAAACCCAGATTAACCTGAGTGCTGAGTCTGTATGTCATTAGGTCAAAAGACCCATCAGGTGGTATGAAGGATATTGTCCTGTCATTCTCAAACCGTGACAAACGCACACACCTAAAACAGATAAAGAGTAAATAGTCAATATTCAATGTAAAACTGTGATCATATACAGCTGAGAAGTGTTCAGAGAAAAAGAAAACCTCTGCAGAAAAGGTGATGAACACTTACTGGTGAAACTTAATATCATCTAAATCTATGGCTTTCCCCTTTGTTGTCCGGCCTTGAGTTTCCAAAAGTAACCGGTCATTCAATCCAAGTTTACATTCAGGCATTCCACTGCATAAATTGTGCATAATATCGTAAGTCCAGTTTCCAATATATATGAGGTTAATTACATGATCTGCATTACCAATCACCACGGAAACTACTTCTATAGTATTTAGATAGATTAGAAAAGAAAGAAGATATCAGATGCATTTATAGTCTCATGTATGATCTTTTAGAGAACATCGAGAGCACATCATGTCTCATGCTTGAGTTTAAGAAGAGAGAGCAATACAAATTATTTTACATTGAACACTCCTAGTGCAAATGTATTGCCCATATATCATAGGATAAGGAAGTGCAATATAGATGCTTGTTTTCGTCCTATACATAATTCACAACAACCACCCATAAGCTTCGAAGCCATGTACAAGACATTAAAAAGATTACATATAACATAAGATAAGGAAGTGCAAGTAATACATGTCCCCCATAAGGTTTTGAAGCATCTAAAACATCTTGGTAACTGATAAGTTCTAGTGTCTGACATAGATGCCACAAGCATTATGAAGTGTTATTGCTTCATAATTTAAAAGTATCTCTATTCTTATTTGTATCCTTCAACCAAAAGCGGATACTAATGGTTTTCCCTATATTTGATAAAGTTTCATCTCCAACAAGTAGCATAATTTGCATGAATAGCTTTCCTAGTGAACAATTCCCATGCTAAAGTATATGTTATGAGGATAATAAATAAAGCTATAGTAGAACCTAATGCTTCTAAACACTCATAATTCAACAACTACAACAACAATGACAACAAGCTATAACTCCCATGTATAGATCCATGAAATCCTTTTTCAAATCCGTCCCTAATTCTTAATGATTTCTGTAGCATGTAATACAAACATCAAAAGTAAAACAGATTAAGAACCAAGAAACAAAGTGTTTCTCAATATTAAGAAAAAAGCATCTCAAATAAAGTAGACCTTTGTTTATCTAATAAAGGTTCTGCAATATCAAGTGTGTAGTCAATGCAGAATTATCAACTGTACTATATTCTCCTCCTTTCAGTCGTTGACATGGGAATCACAATTTTACAGAAAGAGCAAGCGATAACTTATAAGAAGATAGACTAAGGTGAATAACATGAAAACAGAATATATAAATTCAACTAACTAGAAAGACTAGTTGACATGGAACTTGAAAAACTTCAATTGCCAGAATGGCCAACCATCCATAAATCTATGAACAATTTGCATCACAATAATATAACTAGTCAATTTTATAAAAAAAAGTTCTAGTGAAGCTATTTAATCGCATAGAGCTTAGGAAGTTGGTGTCTAAGCAGATACAGAAAAATTAAACTGAAATGTGCATCATGAACATCTGACAAAGACCTAAAGCAAATATATTAAAAAAAAAGAACTAGGAATATGTTTTATATAATAAGCTATGCCATTTCACAAAACAAGCTGCTTGTTAATACTGTTATGTAATGAGGAATAGCTCATGTGATAATAAAGAGCCAAATGCTGTGGCACTTAATTCAACAAGGGCATGTCTGCTATCAATGACACAATAGCTGGTAGGAAATGCTGTGATGCTAACTATAAAAAGAAGACAAAATAAAAGAAGACAGAACGAGAAACATAAGAAGACTACTTAGGTAATAGAGCAAGAGAAAGTGGAGAGGTAACATTTCAATAGTCAAGAAAGGGAGAAAAAAAGGAAAATAGACATCTAAAAGAGCCTTCTAGATTAATCAACCATAAACTCTCTCTATATGCAGGCCAATCACAATTTTGCATGTGAGTGGCTCCTTTAGAAAACCTTCCAGGTTTGTGGAGTGTGTATGTTCCATTTCCTTCCTCACAATATTATATTTCTAACTTCAAAATGGACAAACTTATAGATCTCATCAAAAAAGTTTGAAAAACCTACACAAACTGCTTTAAAGGAGATGAAGAAAAAGATATGAAAGAATGGTGCACCTCAAGTATGTTCTCATTTTCAATGCCCCAACAACTTCTGAACGGATAATTTGTCCATTGCTGTTGACAAGAATATTAACGCTTTCAACCACGTCCAAGAACACCTATAAAAGAAAGAAGAAAGAGAGACCATTTCTTCACATGACATGATATGGTGAACAGTAACCAACATGTATCTACAAAGCAGGAACAAGTGACCTACTTCATTTTTCTTGTACCATATCCCTTCACTGCGCCATGACACTGCATTTGTGACAGCCATTGGAGGCCTCTGTACGACTTCCATCCTGTATGCATCCGTCTTAATAAACTCGCTAAGAATCTTAGCTTCGGTGTATTGCGGGTACCCAAAGTCCATTATTTCATCAAGTAACTCGTACTGTCCACATTACATAGAGAATTCTATTTCAAGACCACAAAATAAACAATCATAGAGTAGAAAAGCAAACTCAAGATTTCATCTGGACCGTAATGTCTATAACACATCACCAACACCAAGAAACAGAAAACAAAAAGCATTTTCCGCTTACCACAACAACAAAATTATCTCTTAATGATTCCTCCTCTAATTCTTCAAAATAATGTTTAAAGACCTGCAAACATGATTAAGTTTAAAAAAAGGGGGAAGGGATCATTAGCTCTTCAAAATAATGCTTAAAGAGCTGCAAGGCATATAATCAAGTAAAAACAGAATGAAGCAACCATTAACTCTTGGAAATAATGTTTAAGGCCAGCAAGGCATATAATTACAGAAAGATAAAATGCAGCAGTCGTTTGAGAATAAAAAGAATACTCACGTTAACGACGCGATGTAGGAAGAGAAGGATGCTGGCGACATTGCAATTCTGCCTCGCAGCCGTCATCAAGAAGACGTTATTGTGCTGAATGAACATATAACTGATCCCATCATCGAACACCACGGGCGATCGAGACTCAATATCCCCCTACCACCACAAAACCAATGCTCAAGATTCCATCTTTTCTCGAAAAAAACGAAAGCGGCAAGCCACCACATCGAGCAGGAAGGGAAGAGAGAATCTAGGGTCTGGGGGAAGGGATTCACCTCCTTCTCGATGAGCTTGGTGAAGAAGCGTTCTGCCTGGACGGCGGAGACGTCGCCGCGGTAGTCCCGCCAGATGAGAATTCGGCCCTTGATATCGAGAAGGAACAGCGCCGAGACGGCGCCCGCCATGAATCGGGGCAACGGAGGCGGCGGCGTGGCAAGGGACTCCCGGAACAGAATCAGATCGGAGACGGAGGCGGGGACCGAGATCTGGCTTCAAGTCCCATTTCCACGATCCCTATAACGCAAATTCCCCTATCGCACGACGATAGAACGATCAAACAAGAAGAGATCGAGATATAAGGAGAGAGAGAGAGAGAGAGTGAAGGATATCGATTACGATGGCCGACGGTGGTGTTCGAGATCTCGGGAGGATGTCCGAAACGAAGCAATTCTTCTTTCGCTGATTAGTATTTGCTTCGCGTGTGTGCGCGTGGAACAGACGAGTCACGGGAGGAAGAAGGCGTTGGGGCGAGGCGGCGGTCACCGAGCCGACTCGCCCAACGTTAATTTGAATGTGCTTCTGAACCCAAATTAGACCGGACTCGATGAAATCGTGTGTTTTTGGTTGACCGAATTGGATTTCTCGGGTGATGTCAAAGGCGGGTTGGCAACGTACTCAAATGCGCGCGTGGAGGCGGTTCGGTCGAGGCCGCCGTCTCCGATCCGGCTCGGCCGACCACAATTTGATTGCGATTTTGAACCTAAATTAGACCCGAATAGATGAAATTATGAGTAGTCCAACTCATAAGGAATATACTATCAGTTAATCATCATAGGATACGTACTCGTCGTGTAGAGTCCACGATAAAACAAAAAGATTTAGATCACTATTTATCCGTGGACAATAGTCTCGATCCAAACAATTTAATATTGTTCTCCCCTTGTCACCCACACGGACAAGAGGTCAAGAAAAGATCATTGGGAGCATTTAGAGATTTTGTCCCCATAAAATATTTCACGAAATATATTATTTCTTTGTGACTAGGTATAAAAGCTGATCTTCGCTACGATAAGAGATGGACTTACTTCTTTTAACTACTCACATCCACATTTTGAACACCTCGGGTTACTAACTTAGACGTCGAATAGGTCGAATCGAAAAACCTTTCTCAATCTTAGTTTTTATGCAGGTGGGAACTCAACGTTTTAACCTCGGAAGCATCTCGAATAACCCTACGTGTATGATTTTGAACCATGTCAGACTCATAAAGACGTCAATGATAAAGATTAAAAAAAAAAAAAAAAAGACTTACCACTTAGTATCAATGAAGAAAGTAGAACAATATATTACCATACTGTAATGTATAGATCTATTCTTGATGAATTTTGGCCATCCAATTTTAAGGACTGATGTGCCCAATTTTCCTACACCTTGAAGCTTCTAGAGACTGCATGACCACATAAATACTTCTCCAATGTCTGAAATCCATAAAGGCAAGACAAAAAGATGCTGTTAATACAGTAGAACTCCACATCTGTTCTAAGCTAACATGGTAGTTCACCCTTTAATGAGGCCAACAATGTCATGACCAATATGACAGCCATTATAATTATGTCATAAGTTTCAACTCATCCATAGTATGCGTTGTGGAAAAGATTTCAACAAGTTACAACAATGTCATCATTTAAAACTTGGTGTCACTTTGAACATGTATAACATATTTTTTTTTGCTATTTTTATCTTCATTATTTTCTTAGAAGAAACAATCAACTGAATCCAAAACTAACACTCTAATGTAAGATCGAATCGGTTTCTATAAACTTAATCGGTCACCAATTAGACGATAAAGATGAAAAATAAAAGCTTAATTTCAAAAATAATTAATGGAGTAGGTAGTCCTTGATGAGTGATATCACAAGATTTCATAATCTCTCCCTTCTTTTATTGGTGGTTTTAGTTGCCACAAGTCACAATGTTCATTGATCACTCTACATCATTGGAAACCAGTGGAAGAGGATTTTAGTTAGACGAAGAAGAAGAAGAGCTTGACTTTGAGATGACCAGTTTGATAAGGAAGCATCATGGTGACTCCTCTTTCAAGTTATTCCAAATCTAGTGCTAATTAAAAACCAAGAAATGTAAGATGGCATGAGAATAACAAGGTGAAGGAGTTTGTTTGGACTTTAGAGGTGGCGTGAGCTCTACTTTGTTGTTCTTTAATTGCATGCTTAGATTTTAGCCCAACAAAGTTAATTATGTGCCACTATGGACTAATTAGATGACTTCAACTTTTGGGTGAATGAATGGCTTAAGTTTCCACAGGTAATAATTGATTTGGATATGAAATAGTCACCCATTCATAGCAAGAAACCTTCATGAAATTAAATTAAAGACATATAAGTGAAAGAAGCATCCTGCTGTTAATTTGATGAGCTTATTTTTTATGATAACATGATGTAATCTTGACTGGTTAAATATAAGTAAAAGATCATTTTGTTCATATGTTTTAAGATCTATCACTGCTTTTGTATGATTCAAGACATCTTAATGTGTCTCTCTACTTCTAAGAGTTATAAAATATACATTTCCTCTTCTGGATTTATTCTTCTTATAAAATAGTATTATTATTTTTCACTATATGAAAATGATAACTTAACAATGTTTTGCAGCTAATTATTTATCTTCACAAAGTTCACATGTAATATTTTTGGGACAGTTGAACTAAATAAAACATAATTCCTTAACATGATTACCTAATTTAACAAAATAATTTCTCATTCCTATATTTCTATTCTTTGATCATGAAGTGAACTCTCTAATGTACTGGAGATGAAGTCCAGTAAAGATGGTGAAGGAGGTGTGGTGGCAGTAAACAAGGATGTAGAAAGTAAAGGAATTTTAATCTTTTAGTTTTAAGCTTCAAAAGTATCTTTTTTTTTCATTTCATCAAAAGTATATAATTCACTACTAATGTTTTCTCATTTCATAAAAAAAAGGCTAGTAGTTGCACTGAAGGCCAAAAGAGTCTAATGTTGATTTGCAATCATGTCTCCCACCACAATCACAATAACAAGATGGGAACAATCATGATCCTCATTGAATTAGAGACTACAGTCCACAAGCACATCCAGTTACTGGAATTATGAAGAGATGATCTGAACTCCACCTTCAAAAATACTCTCCTTTTTCTTCAGAACCTGAATCTGCCTGGTGAGAGGTCAGATGATGAACTAAATCAGTTTACATGCAGATCTGATGAGTAATATAAGATGTCTAAGCTCCCTTTCTGTTGGATTTTAGTGGATCAAATCTTATAGCTGTAAAAGCTTAGTATTCATGTAGGAAAAAAGCATGAGCTTGAAGTCAGAATCTCACTGCAGCATGGAGTTGCATTGGTGCTGAGGCTGAGTTGTGTCTCATTTAAACTCTCATTTTATGTTCCTTTTAACTAACCCAAGTGTTGATTTCTTCTGTAGCATCGAGAAGCATTATCAATTAACCTAAATGGTTGATGTTGTCTCTGGTAGATGATCAGTAATGTACCAATCAGAGTGTCACTAAGAACAGCTTGATATTGATAACAAAGTTAAAATGCTATTTGCTATGCATTGATTTGATGCTCTTTTTTGGTGCATGCAGCAATACCTCAAGTACTTTGTAGAAGAAAGGAATACAAATGGGTGATGTTTCCTTGTCACTGAGAAGAGCTTCAATCCAATGTCATTTCCCAACTAACACCAAAAAGTTCTCATCATTCTCTCTCCAATTCTCCTAACTCAAATCCTGTCTGACAATGCTAACCTGTTTGTGGTAATTCATTTGCCCTCTTCCCATGGTTGAGGATAACTTAAACCTCAATCCACTGCACTGCAACAACAACAACAACATCAAAGCCTTGCTTGGAAACCACTGGACTGATTCAACTCCCACAGCTTCTCTCTCTCTCTCTTTCTCTTGGTGCTTTCCTTTTCCTGTCTTCCACTCTCTTCTTGCTCCTCTCCCCTGCCCATCTAACTTGAATCTTAAGGCATAGAGTTGTTACCTTATATATTTCAGGTGCCAATTCCCTTACCTTCCCTCTCAGGCACATCAAACCCATTAAGCTGATTCTCCCAACTTGGGGGAATGGGACTGCAATCATGCAGCGTCACGCAGAAGCTGAGGAAAGGCTTTTGGTCTCCTGAGGAAGATGAGAAGCTCTGCAATCACATCACTAGAAGTGGAGTAGGCTGTTGGAGCAATGTGCCTAAGCTTGCAGGCAATTTCCGGTTACCATTTGCTTCCTCTTCAATGGCACCATGTTCAGTGTGTTCTTCTTTCTTCTTGTAGGACTACAACGATGTGGAAAGAGTTGCAGACTGAGGTGGATCAACTACTTGAGGCCAGACCTCAAGAGGGGAAGCTTTTCCCAGGAAGAAGAAGGTTTGATCATTGCACTGCATCAAGTTCTGGGCAACAGGTAGCCACACTTGCATGTTCAGAACTCGAAGCATGAGCATCGAACCGATCTGAATCCAACTTGTGGTTCCAGGTGGTCACAAATTGCGTCCCGATTGCCGGGAAGAACAGACAATGAGATCAAGAACTTGTGGCATTCGCGCATCAAGAAGAAGCTTCGGCAAATGGGGATCGATCCGATCACCCATAGGCCACTGAGTGAGGCAGCAGCGGTGCAAGAACAGGAGATCTGCTCGAGCAATCCAGTCCTTGCCACCTCCTTTGAACACTTCCCATGGATTCAAACCCAGGAATGCCTCGACCGGTCACTCGATCAGAATGACTTGCTAGCCAATGCTGGACTAGCCGAATGCAGCAGTGTGTTGGATGTGCCAGAGACATATGGCCATGGAGAGAGCTCGAGCAACAGCAGCAACTGCGACTGCCATGTGCTACGAGAAGAAGTCCTGAGTTGGACTTGTGAAGGTGGGTGGGAACCAGCGACTCACATGCAGATCAATGGAGTGGAGACTTGTGAGGGTGAGTCGAGCGCATGGCAAGAGAAGAAGCAGCATCATGTGGCAAGCACAGATGATGGCGGCAGCCTTCCAATGAGATCGCTGGACCGCGATTTCACGAACGATGACTGCGGTGTCACTCATGAGGCTTTGAAGAGTATACTCAACGCGGATCTCTTTCGGAGTTTGGAATGATCTGACGAAGAGTTTGCAGGGACGTCATGAGTTGCTCACGCCACCCTGTTGGTCTACAGTGCGTTGCAATTTCCACTTGTTGGATCTTTGTCCTTCTACAGAAACTAGTTATGCTGGATAAGATGTGATGCTTTGTAGTTTCTGATGTCTTTGTAGGCTGTGGTTATCTTTGTCATCATCATTGTTAGTAGGTGTTACTGAACTCCTTTTTGCTCTATTGCTCCCAAATGCAACACAATCTGCCTCTGTCTGCAGTAGCTGTTTTCACCTTTGATGTAGTGATCCAACAGAGATATAAGAGATTCAACAGCAGAGCCGAACCACCCTCTATTCAGGGAATCCCATGGTAAGCAATTGGGTTAGTTTTAGTTTTGTTGGAAACTTTAATTGGTTTCATCAAATGTTTAATTCATCAAACAGATGAACAGAGAGTTTATGTTCTTCAGATAGAAATGCTGAATGCCCGACACATGCTGTAGTATCAAAATTCAAAAAGGAATTGTCAGTTTGTCTCCCTGTCCAATAGTTAGAATACCAATTTTGATTGAACCAGGTAGATGCAAGACATTTGCTGAAACCAACAGCTAAGAGAATCCAATCTGAATTAGACCAAAATTGTGGAGTGTAAGAAAGTCAAATAATTCAAGAGGGACCAAGTAACCAACCCTGCATTCATTTCTTTGAATACTAGTGCAGATCTGAATGCATTCATCATAAACTAGGTTGCCATACATGTACTACATAGAATTGCTTGGTTTTACACCTGAAACATTCATGGGATTAGACATCAATAAGCATTCAATTCCAGGTACATGAAACTATTACAGGAGTTAAGACTTTTAGTCAACAAAATTAACACAACAAAAGATGAACTGGTGAGGCAGTTAGCATGTTGAAAGGACCTATCAAATGCAAACCAGACATTATGTACCAAGAAACTAGTGTGACTCCCTAATATAAAAAAAAAGATCATTACAGTTCCTACAACTGACTACTCATTAGTAACACTTCAATGATCAAGATATTGCTATAATTATCTATGCTGCTGACAAATCAATAGAAACAACTGGAACTTTCTTCATACAGGCCAGTTAAATCTCCCAGCTTCGCAGCCAGAAATGCAGTAGCAGCATCTCCAGTTTCCGATAAGCTACTGGGTTATGTATTAAAGCTTCAAACCAGTTGAGGCAATAGGAGGCTATATTTGTAGCAGATTCATCATATCCTCTTGACACAGTCTCCATGAAGAACGACCACTCCCTCGCTCATGAGAGTAGCAAGTGCATTACGCAACTGCCAAATTACGAAATAGTAACTGTTAGCATCAGGGGCAGCCAAATATACCAAGTGGTTGGTGTCTGTGTCATTATTCCTAGTTGAAACTATTTGATGGAATTCAACATGTTATCAGGTTGAACTACAAATGAAAATGCATTAATTCTTTTCTCATGCTTGATTCCACAAAACTTCAAAAGTGAACTCTATATCCTCAAGCTTTTCTTTGTAGATGTATTAGGAGGACATCGAGCTGCAACTTACATCATTGAGGTGAACTTCAATAGAACTTTGCTTCCTGAGCTCTTCCAGCAACTGCATATTTGACACTTTCAGCTTAAGGAACAAAATACTGTGATTATCCCAACTAAAAGGATAAGCTTATATACCTCTGTTAATCGAGTTGAGGGTCCTCCAAGTTGCAGCTTCTCCATTACAAGGTTGCGCGTTGCGGCAACTAGATTCTCACGTCTAGTCCTTTCACTTGCAGAGATTCCAGTCATGATAAGATCCATATCAATAGTCCCTTCAGCGAGAAGTCAGTGTCAGAGGTTGACATCCCAGAAAAATCAACTAGACACTTGAAAAAGAAAAAGAACAGAAAAGAAATAAAATGATCGGAAGTGTTTCCCTACCAGTGGAATGATCTGTTGCTGATTGCTGCAATGCAACTTCCAACAATCTAAATGCTTCTGCCACATCTCGAACTTCAACCTATGAATATTGGCAAATTCAACCATTCCATCATACAACCCACAACTATATCCGTTGCTAATAGTACAAAATAAGGTCTATTCCAAAGATTCTGCATACCCATTCTGAAAATCGCATGCGAGCTAATGCTTCACTAAGGCGAATTAAGCTCTCAATTTGCCTAGCTGTTGCAGTAATAACCTATCCACGGAAGTCAAAGATGGTCAGGCAAGTCAGTGCAGCAGAATAATTCTCAGTGTAGAAGTAGCAAGTTGTTACCTTCTTCCTGCTTCCTGGTGCATTTCCTCTTTTCCTCATTTCAACATACTGGCGTGTCAATTCTTCAGCAGCTTCATCAGATATCTGTGGATGAATGTGCTTCCTTGCATAGCTGATGTATGCAACTAAGGTAGGAAGGTCAAGAACATCCTGCACTACTGTCTGCAGATTCAACAGGGAGAATAGAAACCCCATCAAAAGATGACATAATAAATGGAATAATGCAATTAGAAAGCTGTTAAGAGTTAGCAAATAGGCTCCCTTATTTTCCTTTATTTTTTTGGATTATCAATTTTTGTAAGTAGTTTTCTTGTCCACTCTCTTTTTGTGAATATCTTCCAAAGACTTTCCAGTAAATGTATAATCTATTCAGATTTTTACCAGTCAGAAAACCATTCACCACATATTTTTTGAATTCTTGTTGCACCAAATAAAGTCAAATTTTAAGGCAGCAGATAATTAACATATAAAAGAAAATCAACCAACCTCAGGATTTTTAAAATGCAAAGAGACAATATGCTTAGCCAGACGTCTGTCTGTTTGTTCATCCGCTTTGTCCAAAATCAGATAAATCAAATCAAACCTGGCAAACATAATTTAGCATCAGTAAAATAATGATACAGTGCAAGATGTCTGGTTCTTCATCTTTTTGCAACACTGTCTTCTCACCTGGAAAGCAATGTCGGAGGAAGGTGGATGTTATCAATCACTGAGAGCCGAGGATTATAACGAGATTCACTAGGATTTGCACAAGCCAAGACTGAAGTCCTGGCATTTAAAGAAGCAATTATTCCAGCCTTTGCAATTGATACAGTTTGCTGTTCCATTACCTGCATGCATTCAGATATATAGTGCAATAATTTCCAGAAGAAAAGCACATATATGAGTTTCACAATAACTTGAATAAACTTCAAGTATCAGTGTCATTAAAATTTAATTGAATATAGTTAGTTAGAAAAAGGCTTTGGACTAATCAAGATTCCAAAGATAAATAGCATATAATTACTAAATAAGATTGATTAACCAAACTTTCATAAAGATACCAGATTTGAAACGAGACCAAGAAAACCAATTTGGTGTTCTGTCATCAACATAATTGTGGTAAAATAATCAACATGCAGGAAACTGAAGAAAGTGCATACAGTTTCTATGTTAGGATAAACTCAAAGTCATCAATAAAGTTTCCTGGAGAGCTTAAGACAAGTTCAACTGTGCATGGTTCAAAAATTTTAGTACCTCATGCAACATGCTGCGTGCATTTTCAGACATTTTATCAAACTCATCAATACAGCAAACACCTCTGTCACTCAAAACCAATGCACCACTTTCAAGAACCTGCAGAAAAATCCAGAGGTCAAATTTGAGGTTCACAAAAAGAGCACCAAGGAGTAGATAGACTTGCTTACAGTTTCACCAGTCTCTGGGTCCTTAGAAACATAAGCAGTCAAACCGACTGCAGAGCTCCCTCTCCCACTTGTGTAAATGCCTCGTGGAGAAAGTTTGTGGATGTACTGGAGCAGCTGAGATTTACTGGTCCCAGGATCTCCAACTAACAAGATATTGATGTCACCTCGGAAGCTAGCCCCAGATACGAGCTTAAGAGCATTGCCCCCAAAAAGCTAGAATGACATTAAGTAATTGTCAGCTGCAGACATTGTAATATAAATTTCTGTTCAATCATTCTTAGTATGAAACTAAAATACCATCTGAAAATAAAGAAACCTGGCAGAGAAGACCTCTTTTCACATCATCCAATTCCCATATGTTTGGCGCCAGGGACCTGGTTAGCCTGTCATATATATCAGGCAATTTCGATAGCTCCTTTAGTTTATCTACCTGAAAGCTCCAACAAGCATATATCAGTTCTGTTAAATATTGCAAGGCACAAAAAGCATCAAGGAGATGTGAGATTTAGAAAGGAACAATTGCATAAATAAACACCTTATCTTGATAATCAGGAGTATCATCTTCGATAGTCCTGCTATTGGAACTATTATCAACATCCATCAGATCATCTATGTGAAGCCTAGACTTATCTGTCTTCTTTAAATGAAGGCAATCGATGTACGTCTGCAGTCAAATATTTCAAAATATGATGTTCCAAGTATTACATTCTGTATTAGGTTCAGGTTCATAAGACTAGGTTAAATGGATAACAGAAAAAAGAGAGTAAGTACTAAGAAAAATATGTATGACGACCTATAGAATTACCTTAAATATAGACTTTACCATCCTCTGAGTTGGCCCTACTCTGACACTCATTGCTCTATATATACCCGTAATCTACCATCATGAAAAAATAATTAGGAAAATTAACATTTTCAACGAAAGAGGAGAGATGACATGAAATGAGGTGTATATAGAGAACTTGAAGATATAAATTCCCTACTGACCTCAACTCTGTCTCCAGGTTTTCCAGAGTCCACAAGTTTGTCATGCATCAAAATACTGACAGTGTGTGGAGTCCCTCCTTCTGGTATCTCATCTGGTGTCTCCTGCAACTTCACAATCTGTTTATCTGCAAATCTGGTTTTCACAATAGAAGCCATGAGAGGCCGTATGTTTAATGTCTCATTCCATAAGCAAATTCAACTAAAAACACCACTTGTTAAAGAAGCACCTGCATCGATTGTGAACCAGAGTCATCGAGTTCATGGCCAGACATTCCTGCCTTCCACACCTAGTAGGTTCATTTATTCGTCCTAATTTTTTTTAAAAAAAAGGAAGAATCATGAACAAATGAAAGAATGAAGTTACAATATTGACAAAACTACACAATGGAGATTCAAAGGAAATCTATTATGTTATGGTATTTACAAACCATAATCCTGATCTAGAGATCTTAGAGAGGTAGCAAGTTTTAGGAACTAAGAAGCTTTATAGGTCATTGGATAACATATAATCCGCATATAGATAGGCAACTTTACCACATTAGTTCCATTTCAAACTGATTATAAGGGATCAAAACTCCAATGTGAACCAGCGAAAACTTGAGAACTTGCCTGTGCCAGCAACAAGATATTTGTTCCATGAAGTGGCATTTATTGGAATGACTCAGTTTTACAAAAACACGGACACGAGTGCAACAATTTGTTCACCATCCTAGCACCTTGTTCCCTAGCTTTGTATAGTTAATCAAGTATAGACAATTATTGTGGTTTCTGTATTCAGAGTTGAGAAATAAATTTAACAAGCAGTTTATGACTACTGCTGCTTCTTTAGGTTGTACTGCAGGTTTCTGTTTAAAATATATATATCACAAGGTCTTTCCAAAAGGATTAGTTTTGGTCAGTTATGTTATGGCCACAAACTGTATACGTAATGGGCTTAATAACTTTTTGACACAAAACTAATGTCTTTTGCTGGTTGAACGACCTGATAGAGAGACGTATGAGGAGGCCTGGAACATAGGACCTCTGTCTCTGCTGCTTGTTGAAATTTCAACCAATGGTAACTTATCTAAAAGCTTAAACCAATAATTATTTCAAACAATTGATTAATCTTCAACTATGCTACATTTTCTAAAAGCTTAAGCTGGTATATATATATATCAATAATTCCAGTTTAGGGGGTTGTAGACAAAATAATGAAACCCTGTCATATTTGTCATTCTATGCTTTTAAATTATTGGTAGCGGTCAAAACTTGACAGAGCTTTCATGCAATAAGATATAGTCAGAGAAAGGCAATCCAAATAGTATTCGTCCAATTAACTATTGTCAAAGAAGTTAATCTGAATAGTGAATAGTACTATGGCAAACAATCAAATGCAGAGGAAGACTTCTAGACTTTCTAAAAGCCCACACTGTAGATGATTGAGAGTCATGCATCATTTTCTTATATGAAAATACAATATCTAATCGAGGGTACAGGCCCACATTTTCCATTAGGTTCTAGCGGACCCCATAAGTAGACAGAAGCAATTAAATCTACTCGTACGTGAATAAGACGAAAGATCATTAATGTTAGTCAAACACATAAAAAATATATATTAACACTAATACTGGCAGAAGGAAATCAGCGTGCAGTTTGCAAAATCAAAGAGCTCCTCAAGCTTGTCTAGGCTCTCAATGAAGCTCGTAATTGAGCTCTTGAAAGAGCGCATATCACATCTTAACAGCCAAATCTAGTCATCCTTGAATGAGATGTCACAAATTTGAGTTCCAAGTATTGCACAGAAAAGCTACAAGAGAAGTTCCATTTGAAAGTAAAGATGGGTAAACTTTTTATTCGAGGAACTAGCATTTCAATTAGTGTTAGTCGCATCAAAAAACAAAAGCACGTCAAAGGCACAGGATTTAGTTCTTCCCATTATGCACACACGAATATGATCAAAGTTTACCGGTAATTGGGGATATGATTTTGGTCAATCAAAAAGAGACCTTGCAAAGAATATAAGTGCACCAATAGCATGCCAAACATATACCTCTGTCGACAAGGATGGGTTCTGAGTGATGACCACAGACTAGGCAACGAAATATAGCCTCCTTAACCTCAGGTATTATGGAGCTGCACCGAATTATCATCCCCTTCACAGACACCATCTTCTCGATGTCTAACGAAACCAAGATACAACACATTCATTCAAACACCGAACTATAAGAGCGTTGACATGAAGTTTAGCAACAAGGAAAACAAGATGAAGAATGTGGTAATACCAGAGGGATTGAGATTTCTCATGCACACCGAGGACTTGAGATTAAAAATCCGAGTTTGTATGTGCTTCTCAAACAACGGATCGATCCGAGCGACCAAGTCCATGAGGACGATGTCGAAGATGGCGAGCACCTCGAGCGGATACCTAACCATCTTGCCATAGAGGTCAGGATCGTAATCGAACACGTCGTGGGCATCGACGTCCAAAGACTCCCCGCCCTCCAACTCCATGATGCGGTGCACGGCCCGCATGTACTTCCCCTCCTCCATTAGGCTGTTCCCCCGACCGGTCTCCCTCGGGTCACGGAAGTGGCGGAGGAAACGGAGGATGGCCGCGTTCACGTCCTGCACGCTGATATTGGTCCCCCAGACGAACACGGGAGTGGAGTCCGCGTACTCAGGGTCCACCGGGTCAAAATCGTCCCCAGCCTCGGAGGACGGGGGGAAGCTCTCGTCGGCGGACATGGGAGTGGAGGGGGTGACCGTCTCATGGCGCCTCAACCGGCGGCGGGAGCTGGAGGGGGTAAAGGAGGGAGGGACGTCGGCGGACGGCATTGCGGCGGCGGTGCGAGGCAAAGGAGGGGCCAGATAGGGGCCGGGCGAGGGGTATGGGCTGGTGGAGGGGGCCCGTCGGCGCCGCTTGGTACCACGCCCGGCGGTTCCATTGGCCGGGGAAGAGTTGCTGTTGGCGATCGGGCTCGATCGGCCATCCGGGGACGATGCACCTACCAAGAAGCAAATGAAATTGAATCTTTAGAGGAAAGACCAGATCGGGACGACGAGATTGCCATCGACTCGCCGAAAAGCTCGATCTTTGAGTGGAGAAAGAAAATTAAACAACAGAGTGAGGAAGAGGAAGAGAAAGAGAAAGAGAGACCAACCATAGGAGGGTGAGAGATCGGAGGAAGCCATTCGTGGTGGATCGTAATGGGAGAAGAGTAGCAGTAAAGGGATAGATAGGGTGGGAGGGAGAAAGTAGACAGCACAAGGAATATGGCGGGAAAGACCGGATGCGTTCCCGCCAAAAAGAGGGGAGGCGCAATATGCCGGTTCAGTGGATCCGATAGCCCGCTAATCCAATATGGATCGGACGTGATGATAACCGACGCTAAACCCTAAAACTAAATCCGTTTTGTTTATGTATAAAGGTATAAATACATGAATTATACGCGACAGTGAGTACAACATTCGATAGAGGATACGGATTTTGATCATAGTGGATCTAACATCATTCCAACAGTCATATACGTTGGAAGAAGTCTCAAAGTTGGAATTATAATTTTTGTTTGGCATGATTTAATATATATATATATATATATAATATTTATATTTATATATTCCACCAAAATATAAATCAAAATTTACCATCAATTTAGGGCTTTTACATACCTATTTTTTGCTAATTTAATGTACCAAAAAATAATAATCATATTATTTGTCCTCATCATGCTTCAGGATAAAGACTTGTCAATTTCAAAAATATAATATATATTTTAAGGCCTCATAAATGTTTAATAAATATGTAAAGAAGACTTATTTGAATACTTCTAATGATTTCATGTCATGATTTAATGTATTGCATATAAAAGAAATATTTTGGGATACATAATCGGATGCTTTATATGTTCTTTGCTCCTCAATGCATACAATTCCGATTTAACACATCGCATATAAAGGAAATATTTTGGGGTGCGTCGAAGTTTTTCTTTCGAATCAGTCAGATGTAATAAATATAATAAAATGTATATATTTATATTATGTTTATAGTAAGTGACGAAGAAGTGTGGTAGTAAAGAGGAGCCTTATGGGTGTTGTTTGGTTTACCCCTTAGTGGTTTGTCGAAGAAAGGAGGCATGATGTATTTGGATCAAATGGGACCCATGTGAGCCCCACTTGTCCGCTCAAACATTCTCAATCCAGATTTATTGGATTATATATGGAGAGGAAATGCCACAAAGAAGTCAACCCATCGAGCACGCAGAAGAAGAAGAAGAAGACTGGGACAATAGAAGGCCACATCGACACCCATTTCAATGGTTAATCCTCCTGCAATTCTTCCTGATCTCTCCCTTGTTCCCTGTCAAAGGTGTGATGTTGCCCATCTTCACCATGGACTTGGCGAACTGCGCGAAGAATGCCTCTTCGCTCTCCGCGTACCACTTCACCAGCCGCATGGTGGTCGCGCTGCCGCCGGAGAAGAGGACCTCGTCGGAGGCGAGGAGGCCCTTCCCGGCAACCAGGTTCTTGAAGTACTGGTTGTCGAACCTGCCGGGGCTCAGCGCGTCGAGGGTGAACAGGTTCTGGTCCCCGCCGGAGCGCGGGCAGCGGCGGCGCAGCAGCGCGGCGTACGTCGTATCCAGAGTGGAGTCCGGTCGCCCGTCGCCCGTCTGGTTGTACAACCGTTGCCGGAAGCTGGTGCACCGCGAGTCCCCGATCGTGTGGCTGCCTGCACCCATCGGTTCATGCAGCGACGCGTCACGGATTCGGCACGTAAAGCTCGGTCGCCGTGATCATGATCAGTGTCGTACCTGAGAGAGCGACGAGGTCGACGGGGTCGAGGCCTTTGAGGTTGAACTTAGTGATGATGGTCCGAAGGGTGTTGTTGGGAGCGGGGATGTTGTTGTTGGAGCCTTGAATGCTCGCTCCTATGGAGTCCCTCCTCCCCAGCGGAACCTCCCAGCTCGGCCCACCAGTCTACTCTCTCCCAAAACAGAAGGAACAGAGCAAAACAGAATCTAAATGCTCGTAAAATCCAAGACATGGAAGCTTTCCAACAGTTCTCGAAGACGAAGACCGTACCAGGACAGTGGAGTCTCTTGCAGCGAGGGCAAGGATGTCGGCGCAGGACACGGTGCGCGGACATTCCTTCTCCAGTGCAGCCTTGATCTCGTCGACGACCTCGAACCCCCTCGCGGAGTTCCGGTTGGGGTTCGACCTCTTCTCGCTCGTTATCGTCCCGCTACTGTCCAGCAGAAGCGACGCGTCACAGCCCTGACAAACCGAGCAGCAGCAGCAGTAGCATTAAGACACTCTTAACGCTCAGCTAGTTCGAACAGGGGATGACCAAACCTTCACAAAGCAGTCATGGAAGTGGAGGCGAAGCAAGGAAGCAGCCATGCGGGCTTCTCTGGCGACGGCCTTGGCGACGACCGACCGCACGATGGCTTGAGCACTCGGGCATGAATGCTGGTAGAACTGCGGGTAGAGGTATCCGCTGCCGCTGCACTGCGCGACAGACACAAGTGAGGAGAAGATGATGAGGAAGCTGACAGGAAGATCCATGCACTTCATCTTCTCTCTCTCTCTCTCCCTCGAGCTACAGTACTCAAAGAGGTTAATTTCTTGGTGGTGTGACAGTGGATGTCGGCTTTGGGGGGGTATTTATAGAGCCGAGAGAATGATGGCTGGAGGAAGATGTAGGCAGATTTGGAGAGGGAATCAACAAAGCAAAGGGAGACTTGGTGGGATCTAATTTAGCAGCTGGTACTCCATGATAGGCCATTGAAAGAGCAAGTGTAATTGAAGCACTTCTTCTTCTTCTTGCATCCTAAACCCTAAATCTCGAATAGACAGAAGCATCTTGGATGTTCAACCATCATTTCAGCTTACTATACAAAGAATACTTGGGCAATATGGTGATCCAAATACCATCATTTGGGAGAAGATGAATTAAATTTGCTGTCTGTGAGTAAAACCTACAGATTGGCAGCTATGCATGCATGCACCAAACACAACAACTATACTATATTTGCTAGCTTTGTATCTCTCAAAGACAAAACCAGTGTAATAGGTTCTGATAACACCAAAAATCTCAACTTGCAATGCATCAATGTACATGTGGAAATGCTCACTCTTAACTTGGCATACATTTTACAAGGCAATAGTGTGGGTTGCATGGTTGAGTTCATCTCAGGTGGAATGAGTTAGCATTGTGGTCGAGGAAAGAGAAGGATAAGAATAAAAGACTTGATTAGAAGCATTAGTTTTAGGTGATGATTGAACTCAACAATGGTGGAGGAGAGCTCCATTAAAAGCCACAAAAGCTTACTGGAAGATGCAAGTGATCCATCCTATTGCATTATCTAGCATGACTTTTTGCTATTGTATTCCCTTCTCATCTTGGCTTTTTGCTTTGTGTGACTACTTGCTTGCACAAGTCTCAATGGGGCCAATGGAATGTTGTGGAGCTTTTTTGCTTAGAGACCAAGCTTGCTTGAACCATGCCTTGTACTTTTTCTTTGTGCATTTTCCAATCTTGTGACTCTTTTACTTTGTTTTGTTTTTGGAAAGGAAAGCAATGGGGTTATTAAATGCTACCTTAGCATAGGCAAGATGATGATGTCCATGGTCACCTCCAACCATCAATAATTGCCCACAAGTACATACTTTTAAGATTCCTTTCCTTAATATTTTGCCTACACCTTTTAAGATGTCTTGGTATTTTTCAATATCAAACTTTGCCTCCCAAGATGTAACTTGGCATTAGGCAATTGCCCCAAAAAATTTCCTAATTTATGTTTATTTCAAGTGGTATCTGCCTTTCATTCTTTTTTCTCAAGCTCTTCCTCTTTTTATTAAAAAATGATGGGATGTTGGTGAAGAAAAGAATGGAATAACTAAAGAAAGATTAGTCATTTGATTAGTGTTAATCATATACAAATTCTCCTTTTATATTGCCAACTCAAGCAACACAAGTATTCTACACTAACCATATTAAAAATGGGTGTAATTGACATATTATACGAAAGACGTGAATAAAAAATATATTATCGACTAATCATTGTCCGATATATGTAACCGTTACATGAAATCGATATCACCTTCCATCCATTTGTCTGCATGGATAATAGTTGAGAGAATATTTCATGAAGTATTCTTTCTCCATGAAATATTTTATAAAATATTTTATCCCTTACAACCAGGTATAAAAATACCTTCGTAACATAAATGAGGAGGGGACTTACCTTTTTTTTTACCATTAATGTTTGTATTTAGAGGTTTGATGAGTTACTAATTTGAGTATCAGAGAAATCAAGTCAAGAAACCCTTCTTGACCTTAGTTTTCATTGTATGTGACATATGTGAGCTTGACATTTTCATCAGGAGCACCTCGAACAATCTATGAGTTTAAATCATATTAAATTGACAAAGACATCGATGATATTTTCTGTCATCAAATATATTTCATATATAAAATATAAAATTGGTTATAGAAATATGGAGCATGCATCTAGTAATAATATAATTGTGGAAGAAGATGATATGATAATTAATTGGGTTATTAAACATGATGATAGTGTGATGATGTATGTATTTAACATGATATAAATTTTATAATATTTTATTCGAGTAATATTTTTAAGAACAACTACTTTTTAAAACATATACAAACTCCATCTATCTCAAGCATAGTATGCACTGTGGTTTTTATTTTTTTGTTTTAACAATTAATTACACTCGTATATAACATAATCAATGTAAAACACGAGACTTAACCACTCGATTAAGTTGCTACTTTATAATGCAAGTTATTAATGTTCGACTTGTTTAGGGGGGTAAAATTATGTATAGTAATCATGCATCGATTGCATATTGGCAAAAATCTATAATACGGTTAATATAATCATTTATATGTTTTCAGCGTCTTTTATGATCAATGTTCTAAATCACATCTCACGTAGAACCAATGTCGATATTAAATGTAAAATATATGTTTAAATTGCATGATGCAAATAGGCAAATGTGGCCTCATTGCTTCAACACTACTAGTCAGGGACTTTAGATGCCATGAATCTTCATGTGCTTGTCTATGATTACCATCAACCTTTCGATGTTGGATCATCATATTGACCGCAATAAAATAAAGATAAAGTAATAGTTGTTATTACTATATATTTAGATGTGCTTATTATATTGTTGTTGCATAAGAATATACCATATGTGACATATTGACATTCTGTAGATAAAATTATAAACATGATGTTTAATGTAATGTTTTATATCTTTTGATTTATTTATGTTTTATACATAATATAAAGGGACGGTCGAAGAATTAATGACTTCATTTTAGTTTGATTTGATAATCGTTTTAGGCTTGTAAATAAAGATTATGTCATGTGGACACTTACAAGAGATGTTTGATCTGTAGTGGATTATTTTGAACCATTTGTTATGCAACCGTTTAGAGCTTGTAAAATCTATTTATAATTTATGAAATATTTTTTGAAATGATTGTATGTGGATCCCGCATGAGGTATTTTCTCTAACCTATTTTCTTTTTATAGGTCATAGGAGGTTTCAAGGAGGTTGGCTTTTACGGAGCGATAAAACCAACTAAATTCGTGACAATATGCTTAAAATATATCTAAAATATCAAGGTTAATACCTTTTTATCACAGAATAATTGATAATTTAAAAAATAAAAATAATATTTTTTAAAAAATATTTTTATTATATTAAATGGGATACATGACATTTACACGTAAACTTAAACATGAGATATATCACTTATATAATAAATATGTTAATCAAATCGTAAAACAAATAATATTAGAATTATAAGAGTCTATTTGATAATTCAACCTAGACTCTTTATTATGTAACTATTTCGAACGAGCAAAGTATTTTTATTTTTAATTATTTAGTAGTGTTTTGATCATTGTATCGATCGAACTCAACTTTTTAAAATTATAAAAATAACTCTTGTTAAGTACTGAAAATTATTGAAAAAAATTGTGGTAATTAGCAATGTATGAATCGTTGCCGAACCACCAAACATCCTGATCAGACCGGATCGATCGGTCGAACCGGAAACGGCTCACTCTGGTCCGGTTTCATGGAAAGACCTACGAAGCCAAACCGGGAGGTTTTGCTGTATAATCAAAAGACATTATTATTCTAATTCTAAAAATAATTTAAACGATATTTTGAAGGGTATTTATGTAACTTCGAAATCCTATATAGAGAAGTTAAGAAAAGCCAATTATCCAGGCGACCTCTTTGTTGCCCACCGCCGCCATCGCCCCCTTCCCGCTACGGCCGCTGCTCTCCGTGCGTCAAGGAGGGGAAGAGGAGAGGAGGGAGGTGTGTAGGAAAGGAGAAGGAGCAGAGGAGAAAGGGAAGACGGAAGAGGAAGAAGAAGGAGAAAGAGAAGTAGAAGAGGAAGGGGGGAATAGTACAGGAGAGGAAGAAGAAAAGTAGAACGAGTAATAAAATAAGAAAGAGAGAGAGAGGAGAAACAAATAGACAAAAAAAAGTACATTTCTTTTCTACCGAATTCCGAGTCGTTGTCTAAAATCCGTCCTTTGAGACCCCTTTCTCGCTCTCATTCCCACCTCGTTGTAGGGTTTCTTTCTCTCTCTGTATCTCTCTCTCTATAACCCTTCCGTTCTTCTTTGGATTCGAATCTTGCGCGTTTCGCTCGTTCAATTCGATGCCGGAGAGCGTCGAGAAGATGGACGCAGGTGCCGGGTCGAAAGATGGCAAAAGCGAAGAGGATCGTGAGGAATCGGGGAGGGCAGATGCCGGCCGGTCCCGGGATGCCAATGCGACGAGTCAGGTGAGGATTGCGGAGTTTGATTACTCGGTCGAGAACTTCTTCGCGGCGATGGATGCAATTGGTGATCTCTGTAGAACGTCCGGCGGGGAGAGCGTTGACACGAGTGAGATCCAGCGGTTCTCCTCGACGATCACCTTCTTGAAGTGAGCCCACTCTGGATTATAGAGCTTTTGTCTTTGTTCTTTTGCACCTTGTAGATGGTCGGTTTCTTTGGTCCTCGTCGATCTAGAATAGTACGAAAGGCTTGATTTGTATTAATCAAGTATTGCTGTTGTTTGGTTTTTCATTAACATCATTGTTTTGATGGATAACAGATGGAGTTTTTCATGATGTTATTATTGCTCTTTTGAATAACTAACAACTTCGGTCTTGTTTGAATTGACGTAAACCTTCGTCGTTATGATCTGTATCCAATTGTATAAATTTGACAATTTTATTTTCTTCAGTATTATTTTCAAATTGATTTTTGGAGAATCGATATCATTGTATTAATTTGTGGCAGAGAGTGGAAGTTCTTCTGCTATGAGCCAAAAGTTATCAACTTTACATGTGAAGAAGTTAAAGATGCAGCAGAAGATATAAGCCTACCTCAATTTTCGTCTGCTGCTGTTCCCAAGGTTTGTGAAACCAGCCTTATTTTTCTATTCTTTTTCCAAATGGTTTTGTTGCAGATGTAGCTTTTTGACCTCAGACAATTCATTTTGACTCATTGCTTGATATGCTGTGCAGATTTCTCAATTACCAGATGAAAGAAAACAATCTGAGAGGTATCCTTTATGCCCTTTTTCTTTTGTTATTCGATGATCATACGGCATTTTCATGTATATCTATGTTGGCATCTGATTATTTATTTATTTACTGAAATTTTTATCTGTATATTTGTAAGTCTATTAATTTAATTTGAGTGTAATTAATGTTGTAATTTGGACCAATAGGGTGTGTGGAAAAGTTCTTCTATAATCACAGAAAGTTATGATGCTACTTCATTTTCCCTGCAGTTTTTTGCATTTTACCATTAGATTCCTTTAATCTATGTGGGTTACTTCTGAATTTTTCTAGTCTAGTTTTCTATTAGATTTGTTCAGTTGACCTGACAAACATTCTTGTCAAATTTTATTTTCAATATTATATTACAGCAATGATTATTAATATGAGAATATCTCCCTGATTCACTTTGTTTCACAGTTTATTATTTATTTATATGATTTTCTTAATTTAGTAGTCATTTTCGTTTTAGTAAAGAATTAGACTCTCTGTTCTGCTCCTTTTGGTTTCTCACATGCTGTATCCACCTTTTTGAATTTCATTGGATTCATAAACTTGCTGGTATTCATGCATGTTCAACCATAGAATGAACTTCTGTGAGTAATTATATACCCTAATGTTTGAGCTAGTAGGATTCTCTTCTATGTCATAAGTACGGAAGTTTAGTAGAGTACGAGTAGGACATTAAATGTACGTGTTGGAAGGTGTGGGAGTTCAGAGTGTACTTGGCATCTGGTTGGTGGTTTGAGAACTTAGGTTGAAGTTCATTTTTCTGCCCCTCACTGGATGAAGCATTTTTTAATTCTGAGTTAAATTGATAACAAAATTTTCCTTTATGACACATGAAACATAAAAATGGTTAGCCATCTTAGAGCTCTTGAACCCCTAGAGTGGCACAAGGCTGGGTGAAGTTTTGGGATTATACCTGAGTGGTGGTGTGTCATTTTCAGTGAGCCCTCTGGCTCGTTTAATGCAAGTGCTTGGTTTTTATTGTGCCTGCACTTACCTTTGAGGCTTTGTCATTTTCCTTCATGCTTGCAAAAGTCCATTGCGAGGCGATGATGGTTGTTTGCCCGTGCCTTAGTAGGCTGATTCCTTTAGCAGGTTGAGCTTGGCTTGCTGTGTGACTTAGGCAAAATCAACTAGTAGATTGAATTGATTGATTTAAAATTCTCACATAACTTAATTAAAAATTATAAACTTTGTTATTTTAGTCCTTATTTTAAACTTTTATTGAATACATTGGAAGCCTTTTTCTTAATTTACAAATACATATCTATTCATGTTTTCTCTGAAAAATTGGTTGTTCTCACCGCTAATGGGCTTGTTAGAGACCTTTAAAATTTGCATGTCCATTCGTGTTTTGCTCATATAGGTAATAGTTGGAACTCTTAGAGCCGACCAATGATGTGTTTTCTGCATCTTGGTTGCTAGAAGGACCAGGAAATGCTGCATAAAGGTATATGAAAAACTGCATCATGGTAAAATACAACAACTATGACAACAACAAAGGCGTAATGTTCCAATTATTTGGGGTTGACTGCATGAATCTTTTGCCCCATTGAGTCCCGTAAAAAGTCATATTTTTAGTTAAATTTAGAGTATAATTAAATCTTAACTGAGGGAAAAAATGAATGCTAGATAATATTCACTTTGACCAAGAGATTGTTGCAATTGACCACAACAAATTGTAACTTGATATTCAAATTGTTCAAGTTCTATTGCATTTTGAAACTGATATAACTTGGTCAGTGGTTGATCTATCCAATGCTTGAACCAGTAAAGATAAGTCCAATCGAGACTGAAATATGCTTTTCCTTGGATCACTTCTATATTGAACTGTGGTGGTTGTTCTTTTCTGCAGCTAATTTGACCAATTCCTAAACAGTTTAGCCTTTTTATGTTAGTTTTACATGTTGATTTTTTGTAGGTTGTACCATATTTTTGTTTCTTTGTCATCAACTTGTTAAATTGCTTCTTTTGATAAGAAAAATGGATGACAATGAGAAACCAATCGAGTGTCCTTGATAGATCTAATTTCCGTGGCATTGTGCAATACCAGTTTTCGTGTTAATTTCTGGTGTTTTAATAATCAATGATGCATTATCTATAAACCTTCAATTGGTTCGTATCAGGATACCGACATTAGCTAGTTAACATGAATTCCATTTTCAACTTTATTATTTTCTAATGTGTTCTTTTTATTAGCCTACTATATTATATGATAAAACACTTGATATAACTTTGCAGCAATGATTTCATTTTGCATGCTGGCGGGCTTGTTTGGGCACTTGACTGGTGTCCTGGCAGTCATGAAAAAAGAGACTCCAAAATAAAATGTGAGGTACCTTTTATGCTCACTTTTCCTTTTTGTTATCACTTGCAATATGTTATTCTTAGTACCTTATACAATTAATCTAATGAGTTACTCCATCTTTCTGATTCTACATTCTTGACAATCATTTAAATGAAAACATCATGTAGGATTTAGTATTAAATGACACAAGTACTGATAGGCAACATTTTGTGTATCATGCTTTCATTTTGTTGCCTCACATTGGAATGAAGATCCGTTTCTGAAGGAAGTTGGAAGAAAGAACAGTTGCCACTAAAAGTTCTAATATCGCATGCATTTCTTGCACATATTGTATGACCTTATGTTTTTCTCTCCATGACATTTATGCAGTTAACACTATTTAGAATTTAACTTGATTTGTAAATGTGTTCCTGAAAGGTTTACTGATTTGCTGATTTTTTGGGTAACATAACATAGGAGCTAGTGCACGAACTATTGAAGAGTGGAAATCTCAGGTTCACTTGTCAGTATGTCCCTGTTTGTTTGCATAATTTTCATATCACTTCAGCAAATTTTCTGAACTCATCCCCTTTGGTTTTGTCTTGTGCTTCACATGCAAATGGACTGATGACTGTTTTTCTAGTTGTTTAATAGGTTGGTATTTTGGTATAGGAATCCTTTTTTTCCAATTTTCCTTTCCTCTGTTTTGTATGGTTAGAAATAGTTGAGAAGCACTGAACAAAGAAGGTAATTAGCCACAGTGGTAGGAAAATAGGATCTTAATTTTTGTACATTTGATACCTAAGATCTCATTATTTTATGTTTCAGGCAATCAAATAGTATATGCCAGGTCTTTAATGAGCTGGAGAAGTATAACATAACATAGAAAGTAAAATTACTAGGGAAAGTGTGCGAAATAGATCACTGATCTAGCACGTTGAAATTTGTGCTGGTAGCTATGAACTTTAGTTGGCTGTCACCTCAAGAAGCTGGAAATGTCCAGAATTTCTTTTGAACAGACTCATAAAGTATGAAACAGTTTGTACCAAGGATTGAAATATTGTACCGTACCGGAGTTTCGACGTTCACTCGGTACGGTACGATACTGTATACCGAGCGATATACCCCTCGATATATATATATATATATATATATATATATATATA